CGTGGACCGGCTTCGGGGCCCAACCTTTGCTTTCGTCGACGGTGGCAGGCCCCGTCCAGGCAACCGCTTCTGGATTCGCAGCCGTTATCGGCCAAGAGAACCTCCACATCGACCCCAATCAACATTCTACAAGCAACGCAATAGCGTCCACAAGGCTCGGTGATGTCGCTCACCTATGGCTTTCATGTAGCTGTCGAAGTTGACACTATTCGTTAGTCTCCACGTGCCGCAGTACGCCTCCACCATGGTTGCGAGCGCGGGGAATTGAGAGGTGCCGTGTAAGTAGTACAAACACTGCCTGTGCAGTATCGATAACGACTGGATTGGGGTATCGCAAAGTCCACGTGCTTTTAAAGACCCACTGAACTCCCCATTGGTCACTCGGGACCGCCCCGCGCATTCCCATTGGCCTGTGGGTGACCACGCTTCTCTCTCCCTCCCTGGCTGAAACCACGGAGTTGCATATCGATTGATTTCCACGTGAACTGTAACGATACTTGCACATCTATTGCCATAGATTCGTGCGCGTGAAAATGCATCGTTTTCGTGTCATACAGGTCGATTCATCGTTCTTGGGCCCCACGTTGCACGCTGCCTTTGATGCCATTCATAGTTTTAATGAAAAGTTAATAGTAACTAAAAAAAAACTGGGCACCTTCGATTTAAAGCTTTCGTGACTGTATGTTCTTGGTTCTTTCGGAAAAGTCACGTAGAAGGGAAATAATAAAGTGACGCAAATAAAACGTGATAAATTTCTCACGACGTTTCGGCCACAACGCAAGCAGCCGTCCCGCAGTTGAAGAACAGAGCTGCCGGAAAGACAGCGTCCGAAACGTCGTGAGAATTTTATTTTATTATGTTTATTTTATTATTTCCCTTCTACGTGACTTTACCGAAAGAACCAAGAATATGAAACTGGACACCATTAATACAATTCCGCCACCTACAGGTCCATTGCCAGGTTTTAACAACAGCAAGACAGGAAAGCGACCAGTTTATTTTTTTTAAACAAGCACACCATTACATTTCCGAAATACAATCATGAAAGCAGAAAATCGGCATAAGCCGAGTATTTCAGTAAAGCACACCCCTATTCCTCTTATAACTAAGTGCAAAAAAAATCCCAATTACAAACATTCTGACATCATAGAATTAAAAGAGGCGTTTGCAGGTTTTGTGTTGACAACATAACGATGATAGACTTAAGACTCGATTTTTGTAAATGTTATACTCTGCACGTACTCCAATGAGAATAGTTTTCCCTGCAGGTGTAATTGTTAACAATTTGTACATGAGGATAACTCTGAACGTGGGGTAATATATATTACAAAATTACATTTCGTGGTGTATTATCAAAACTTACTTTTTTTTTACAAATGATCAATCTTTTAAAATAACATTTTTTTCATAAATTGTATGCAGTTTAAAAAAAATTGGCACGTGCAAGCTACTACAACAAATAAGTTATTCTAAAAATACTACGATCGTTTTTTTAATGCCATTGTAGTGTCCTGATTAATACATGGCCTCACATAAACTGAAGTCGTCAATTAATATTCTCAATCATAACGAACGCATTCTCAAGTCATGTCTAGGGTAATCAGATAAATGTTACATCGCATAATACTACATATCCTCTTTACATTCTTATTCTAAATAAATGCGCTTTACATGGCCGTCAGCAAGCGTGCTCCCACAGTATTACATGAAACTTAAAATGGCAAGTGAATGCGAGTTCCTCTACAAAATAGAACACTGAGATAATACGAAATTTTGACACCTATAACCGCAGGCCAAATGCAATACATGCAGAGATGGTATATCAAGTAAAATTTTTAAAAAATGCTTTATAAAACTCAACTTGTTATTTTCTGGCCTATCTATAAAAGTTTCCATAAAGCACTGTATTCTACAGGCAAACTAAGTTTGTACACAGACGTATTTACAAGTTACATCTTTAAAACGAAACTTTCAAATATAGGTAAAACAATCTTTGAAATGCAAGGTATACGTGACAGCTCAAAGGGGGGAGGTACAGTATGCACCCATTATTAAAATAGACCTTACAGCTGTCGTTCCCCACTTGTTATCAGTCGCAATTTGGCCCAAATTAAAATCAGCCACTTTTACTCTCAGCTTCGTTGAAGAACCTTGAGTGGAGAAATGCACCTTCACCACACTCAATCAGAAGCTCCACTGTGGAACCCCCAAACTCGTCCTGCCCAGTACAATAACGCGCAGCTTAGCCGCTTGCGAGCTTTACTCGATTTCAAAAGGTAGGAAAATCATTAATTATCCATTCATTTGACTTCCTAGCGATTATTTTTCAGAACTCGCATATGAAATCAATTTGCTAGAATTAGTGCGTCCAATTATTGTTTTAAACGGGCAACTACCTTGCCACCATCACAATCACCCGCAGACCTATTCCACCATTCTCATCAAATTACAAATGTACAGCAGTGCTTATGTTTCCCGAGATTACCTGGCTGTCACCAAGTACCTGGCTGTCACCAAGGACCACACTGATGTTATTGAGACATTGACATTTTAAGTCACCAAACGGAGTTGTACTGGATAAAAGCGTGCAGTCAAGATGCATACAATTGTTGTTGGTAACATTCAGTAGTATATTACACCAAAACGCTAGCCAGCGTTTATAAACTGGTTTGAGGCATCACAAAGCTGTCTTAGTTTGCGTAATCCATTTATAAAAACGCAGAGCAACATACGAGGGCATTTTGCATGTTTAACTTCTTTTGCACCGCACGCAGCCAACCGTGCTAATCATACAAGCCAAGATGAACCAGGCCCAAATCTTGGCAAGATCCGCTTGGCAAACTGTCAAAACATTTTCAACATTTACTTGAAAACGAATCATGACCATTTCAGAAACCCATACAAGTGACCATAGTCGTGTATCATTAACAAAGACATCGATGTTCAAATAGAGATGGCTGAAAATCTCATCAACTACATCATGGTGTAAAGGATATTTCATAAAGCAATGAACATGTTCGTGGAGGTTAACGAGTGACATCGAATACAAAAAAACATATACAAAATGCCGATGTTTAAACATGAGCGTATTTTTCAGTATGTTAGAAATTCACCACATTGTTTAATGTCAGTAAACATTAACAAATGAGCACTTACAAATGTCCATTGTCCATGCCAATATATTAACTTAATTTTAAATGTCTATGAAAAAAGATACTCAAAGGACTCTTAAATCAATTTTATTATAAAGTGGGTCACTACCAATCTATATTATACACACTTCTGCAAACTCCATACCGATGTCACTAAAATGAAAATCTCTCCGATGACAATTTTAAACATTTCTTTTACGCTTTGCAGTGCTAACACACCAGAGAAACTGTACAGTCCGTTATATTCAACATTGACTGCTGTCGTCTTGACCAGCGACTCTCAACTGCAGTCATCACAAAGCAGCAGGGTGCAACTTTGCCCTGATTAATTACCAACCCACAAGGTGCGTGCAGTGGCCTGAGCTGCATACGAATAGAACAAAAAGATTTGGTAATCGCGAATCGGATGGGCAGGAGCTAGGCCTCGGCAAGGTAAGGTTATTTACCTTTTTTACCGGGTAAAAGGGTAACGGTAAAGGTGTCGACATGCCAAGGGGTAAGGTAAAGGGTAGTAGGGTAAAGGTAGCTCGAAAGAATTGCCCGGTAGGGTAAAGGTAGCGCGAAGTATAACCCGGTAAATACGGTGCCTTGTTTACCGCTAAGAGCTCCGTGGCGCAGTCCGTGGCCTCAATTTAATAAGTAATATTTTTTAAAACTTTTTAAAAACACGCTTTTATGAAATCTACGAGTAATGGCAGAACTCCACGACTCCAGGAAGTGGCCCCGAAGCTTGCCATAAAGGGGCCATGGCCAATTACAGCCAACGTCAGTTGACAGTGGACAATTAGACCCAAGCCGAAACATAACATCTAAAAAATAATGTTTAAAAATATTTTTATTTTCTTTTTAATGATAGAATATAGTATTGTCATCAGTATGACATAAGTATACCGAGTTCGCAGTCGATACTACATTGGGAAGTGGGTTAAAATTGAGTTACAAGATTTGATGATACAACAGAGTGAGTTTAAAGAAAGCGTGTAAAATTGGAATAATCGAGAGTATTCTATAGATGAATAAAGCGCTCTACCTAGCATTTACCTGTTATAAACCTTTTTCATGTGTAGTACCCCAGTCATTACCCTGTAATCGGGTAATTTGTATGGGGTAATGGTAAAAGGTAGGGTAAAGGTAGGCTCGTTGCTTTTAACCTTTTACCTTACCTTGCCGAGGCCTAGCAGGAGCTGAGAAACACGGGTCGAGACGGTCATGAAAGGCGACTGATGATGAGCGTTACCCTTTTGCCCACTGTCTTGCATGCCAGCTGAGCATATACATGGTAATATACCAGTTCACATACAAATGCAGAACCAGCACACCTGTTTAACCACCTGTATGGCCACTACAACGAAGAATTACCTCATCGAATGCATTTGCAGATTCACAAAGCCGATACCCTCCAACAGCGGTTCCCAATCTGGAGTTCGCAAGGCTGTGCGGGAAATGATCCGCCCAACTGCTGCATATTCACATTGTTTCTTCTCACAAAACACCACACGGTGCTCCGCGAACATCTGTTGAGGGTTGACGGATGCACGTGGGTCCAGAAAAAATTGGGAGCCACTGCCCTAGAGTGTGTTAGGGTTAGGGGTAAGGGTTGGAGGATGTGGTGGGTTAAGGCTACGGGGCTAGCCTTGATAATGCGCAATAGAACCCTAATAGCCATACACTTGCTGCTGTGCGTTAAATTCCACGAGGGAAAGTTTTCATAGTGAAAGAGTTCTGCATTACAGCACATCATCGACACCTTTGTTTAGGGTCAAGAGCAGTGGTACAAACATTGTTCGATGAAAACTTGAATGCTCATTCGGTACAAGCTGTGTGCAATTTTTGTACACGTTTGGAGACCGTGTACCACAATTAGCGCTTTTCTAAACGTCTACCTATATACAGTACATTATTTAAACATTCACTTTTGTATTTGTTAACACTCATCAGATATATTTAATCCTGACTCAGTCGGTTTAACAATAGCCTCGTAAGGTTTAGGATACAAATTGTCCAAGTTTACCTGTTTATCATGTACTTTAAGTGCAGGCTTTATTCAAGTTTAATTATTTAAAAACAATCAAATTATTTACTTCCAAATATCGTACCTAGCAGTGGTAGTGACATCAGGAGTCATAAAATACACCCACAGATTTTTGAATTGATAAACTCAGTTAAAACGAATGTGACTGCCGCATGGCACATTGCATTTATTATTCATCATTTCAGATGTGTTACGGGACGTAGATTTGTTTCCCAATTAAAAATGTTACATTTTTAAACGTTTAAAAATTACATGCAGTTATTTTGCTTAATAATAAAACTGACCCGATGCTTTCAGTGTTATACGTTTAAAAAAATTAATCAATCAATAAAACATAAATAAAAAGGCTTCCTCATGAGGCTAAGAGGATGGCTCCAGGGTCAGTTGCCATCTTTAGTGTGTGTCGGTGCTCGGGGCCCAAGAAGGGAACAACGCGCATGGGGCACCACGGCGGTCCGTGGTGATCCACCGCACCGGGAGCTCATCCCCCGCCGCTCCCCTCCATGTCCAAGCGGCACGGAGCAGGAGGACCCCCCCTTCATCACAGTCTCACATTGAAGGGTACTTGTGCTGCTGGCTCCAGCCGCCCCCCCCACCCCCGCCCCCGTCACGGTTTGTGAAATCTGCACGGACAGAAAACAGCCCAGTCGGTCAATTCGCTCGGACAGCCGCGGCCCGTTGCGTTGATTCACGATGACCTCCGTCTATGGCCTCGTCTCGAGCTTCGTTGACAGGAGCAGCGGAGGAGACATTGGCACTTTTATGGATCCAGCATTGGTGAGGGCGACAGCGAGGTCTCGTCCAGGTCCGCGAGGGACCTCTGCCTGATCTGACATTAATGGCGAGCTTTGGGGCTTCTACGCTGAACCAAGCCCCACGGATAAACAGGCACCAAACGAAGCACTCAATGTAACAAATACCGTTATGGGTGTATTCTCGTGTTATCTGTTTATATCCGTATGTGCAGGGCTTTGAAAAAAAAAGCATCTCCTCGAGTTCATTTGGAACTCTTTTGGTGAATTTCGCACTCAAAGCATTTTGATTGCCATGTACGCGTATTTTTTTCACAACAAACTATTAAGTTTTAGTACAGTTTATAGAGTGCACATCAAAATTAAAAAGACACAACGAGTACATACTTTAAATACTGGAGGACACAAAGCAGTAAATTAAACATGTGTGCCAAATATGATGCAAAATAAAGTTGTTAAAAATCATGACTTTGTATTTCCACAAGATTAAGTATTACGCAAGCAATGTCTGCATAACACTTATGGCCGATGGACCAGGGTAGTGGCATATTGGTTATTGATTTACTTATATGATTGCCATGAGTGTGTAAATTGACACATGCATGGAAAACAAAGGCGAGACCCACACCACTCCGGGGATGGCCCAATGAGGTCAGTTTACATGCTGCAGCAAAATGGATTGTGCGACATTTGCAGGGCGGAGGAACAGCAGTGTGGATACTCTGCACGCAATGAACACAGATGGGGTGCTGACCTGGTGAACCTTCTGCTCTCTTCATGCACCTCCATCTCCGTGCTCTTGAACGTATTCAGCTCGCTTCGAATGGCAGCCTGGGAACACGGGGGTCAACACGGCGACATTACAGATTGACCCAGCCTTTGTCCGTGCTGTTCTACCGTTTAGCATTTGCCGCAAACACAAGAGGTGGCCCGGTGGCTAAGAGGTGAGAGCCATAAGCAAGATCGTGGATTCAAATCCAGGTAGCCACCTGTTATTAAACTGAGTGTTCACGTGTCGCAAGTGTAGCAAGTTTGACGGTTTGAGCCCCGGCACCAATTTGGTTCTGCACTTAATTCTCCTTCGAATTGGACCTCTGAGAATTCAAATTTTAGTTTGACGGTCGCGCTGCGAATATTCATATCATATGGCAGAGCAGGTGGGAAGGTGCCATCTCCTACTGTGTGGATCAGATCACTTTCAGGGACGCCAGAGGTAGCTCAATGTGCTATCCGTTGCCGTGGGCCGTTCTCCAAGAAGGAAGGGATCACGCTGCTCTGCAAGAGACCCGAATGGATCCTTTGTCTCATGGCATGACACCAATGGCACAACCGATGGCACAGGGGACCACCAGCTGCTGAGGCGAGATGTTCACTACCTCACCTGGTGTACAGGAGGTCATGGGCTCGATCTCGACCCTGACACCTGCTGTCTATTTGGAGTTTCTACGTTCTCCCGGTGGTCACATGGATTTTTCTCTGGGTCCTCGGGTTTTCCTCCCATTTAGAAACATGCGTTAAGAGTATTTTGATGCTATACATTCCCATACGATAAGCCACTTCGTTGAGCTGTCATTTGTGGCCAGGTCGTGTCTGGAAAAAAAAGATCTAGATAGCTCAGTTTGGGGCCTTACCTGGTAAAATAAAAAATAAGTTAAAAACAGTAAAATTGGTGGAAAACTACTGAAAAATAAACACAAACATCCAAGGTGAGCGGGGGGCTTGCGCTGAGGCGGCACGCTCGCGTACCTTGTCGGCGGACGTGAGCCTTGTCCACGGCTTGTCGCCTTTCCGGTCGTAATCCTGGGCCTCGGCCACCTCCACGTAGTCGTTGAAGTGGAGCAGGATCTTCTTCTCACGCAGCTCCTCCACTGTCGGTCTCATGCTCAACTGCACAACGCAACATGGGGAGAAGAGGCGAGGGGAGTGGGGGGGCGGGGGAGGAGAGGTCACTCGAATGGGACAAACCACTTTGGCACAATCTTAATGCAAGCGTTAACACACGCCATAGATCTGATGCGCTCTACATTAAAAAGGAAACTCCCACAGTGAGACATTCGCCTCTTGGAGGCGTAAAGATGTTTGACTTAAAGGTCGGAGTTCAAGAGATCATCCTGGAAAATGCCTCAACTTCAACATACGATGGACAACATCACAAGCAGGAGTACTCTGAAAGTGGTAGCTAAAGGGACAGGTCTAGGATTGTGAAATCCCTCGTGCAGGACAACCACCAAAGACAGGTGAGCCACGTGCCCACTGTTTCTGCACGGCGTCTCGGTCGCATTAACACCCTGCCAAATTAAAACCACATTTCCCCGTGCAAGCCGATCACACCAAAAATACCGGGAGAATGGTGTGGCTACCGCTCATTGCTCTAGAAGTCGGCAACCACCACACTACAAACATGGGTTTATTGAGCAATCGTGCATTATTCACAAATTGAACCACAAGATGCAGCGGTGTCCTCAACATTCCGGAGCTAAATACGACAGCCCGCTATTTAACCAGGCGGGTCAACCCATTTATCAAGTGATTGTTTAAAAGCGTTAGGACCTCTCCCTTGCTAAGCACCCACCTTCCGCGTGAGCCTGCGTTTGAGCTCCTGTTTCGCCTCTTGCTGCTCGTCCTCATTCACCACCGCTGGTGGCAAAACACAACGTAACAATATTCATCTTCTTTGGTTCTTTCGGTAAAGTCATGTAGAATGAGAATAAAATAATAAATTGATCAAATAAAATAACGCAATAATATCCTCCAGCGCTGTCCTACCAGACAGTCTCGTCCCTTCACCTGATGAAGGCCGCTTGTGTTGTGGCCGAAACGTCGTGAGAATATTATTGTGTTATTTCATTTTATCAATTTATTATTTTATTCTCATTCTACGTGACTTTGCCGAAAGAACCAAAGAAGATGAATCATTGCAGTCACGAAAGCTTTAAATCGAAATTTAACGTAATAATACATTGCTGTCAGCGCAAATATTTTGCTTTTCAAAAATAATTACGAGATTAATTCGTAGAAATATCAAATGCAAAAAAAATAGCCGAGCGGTGGCTTTCCGACTGCTGCAGATGTTCGTGGTTCAAACCCAGCAGCCGCCTGGGTTAATACTGCCGGTGTATTAACCAAAGAACATGCGCAGCCTGTTTCACAGTGCACATTAAAGATCCGGTGACGTTATTTGAAAAAATAAGTAGGCCGTGTGTGCCAACATCATGGTCCAAATTTGAAAAAGTAAATTACTGAATTGGGTAAAACCACAAAGCATCATGGCCCCCTGCTAGCACACAATATCCGTCTTTCAAATTAAGTGCCCTTTGTAAAAGCCTTGTGCTGTGAGGTGCAAACACAAAATGTACTAAGTTGTGATTTTTACAATAAAAAAAAAATTATCAGTGGATTGTTAAATTACGAAGGAACAAGTTTGGCTCCATTGTACTCGCTGGAAGTGAACCGCATACGTTTCAGGATGTTTCGTTGCAGCAACTCGGCAGCAGTCGGTCGCTGGCTCAGGCGTCTGGGAAAACACAGGGCACTGGTGACGGAAAGTCCAGGCCTCCCTCGCACAAGGACAGCAGCACACACCTCGTCCGTAGCACTTTTCTTGCCAGCGGCAGCATCCATGGCTCTCAGCATATTGTGTTTAGTAACTACTGTAGAATTGTGATTTTTTTTTAGTGGCTTAAGCGGCGGATTTTACGCTTCCGTTATGCACCCAAGGCTCGCCCACTGACGTTGAAATTGTCGGGATGGATGGAATATGAATAACCTTCCAAAACTGTACACGTAAGCTAAATTCGGTTTACTTGTAAATACTGGGGTTTTGTAAAAGAAAAGAAAAAGATATGCCTGGACACTTCACCATGCAGTTTGCACACAAACATCTCCAAGGACAGCGCACATCACAAACTCAGAGCACCACTTGGCCTCGTCATTCAAAACACACAGCCCAGCCGCTGTCATGCATTGGGCTCGGTACCGGGTCAAGGTGTTGCCGATATTCATGCGCATCTTCAGCCGCTCAAGGTCTGCCTGCCCAGGAGAGATGTTCTTGTTCTCCTGCTCCTTGGAGGAGGATTGCTGGCCAATTAGGATTGCGAGAGAGTCTTTGCGTGCGACCTTGCTTGCAAATGCACCTGTGAGACACGTGTTGGTTCATTGTGGTGAGCTGCAGTATATGTTGGCGACTTGTGAACATCTTAAATAAGAGAGTTGTTTGCAGGCATTGCAATTTGTGACATTGCAATTTTTCTACGATTCAATCCTTCCGTTCACAATCCATGCAAGAATAAATTATTTTCAATTCATGGAAATGTTATGCAAGTAATGAACGAGTATAAACAACTTTACAAACTAGAACAAATGTGAAACAATACGAATGAGATGGGGAGAAACGAGATGAAAATAATATACCCCGAATTGACAATTATTTAAGGGGTCAATCATTTAATGCCTTCTCAAATGATACATTAAATTACCTCCATTAGCAAGGATTGTCTCCAATGACTCAATAACACATTGCAACTAATGACACTACTAGCAATACATATCTGTGTATATGAGGCTTAAGCGATTGAAAGTAACCAGTGTTGGTGTAACTTCCAACAGCGTCTCAGGACTGCCAGCAGAGGTGAACAATTCCCACGCTCATTTGAGAAGGAAGAAACTAGGCAATTTTTACTTTAGGAGCAAAAATATTAAATCATGGATATCACACGAGCGCATGTCATGTGACGACTCATAAACCGTTGAAAAGTGATTTTTAAATCAATACAAAATTAAATTTTCATACTTGTAATTGGCACATCCTCCTCTTCCCCCTCCTCATCGTTCTTGTAGAGAATCGGGCCATCGTCGGAATCGGAATCCGACTGAGAGTGATCAGCATCCTCCTGCGTGGACGCCTCTCCCCCTCTTTCTTCTTCGTCGCCGCCGCTGTCGTCGTGATCGTCATCGTCCGCCTCGTCAGGCACCGGCTCCGGGGCCTTCACTACCACCTTCCGCCCCTGGGGCGGCGGCCCAAATTTGAGCAGCTTATTCAGCTCGTTGCTGAAGTTCTTGGGCTGGGACTGCAGCAGCAGACCCTGGGGTTCGCACGAGTGGCCGGATGGCGTCGAATCCTGCGGGGGCGAGGGAGGCCGGCAGGGCGTCGGAGCGTGGTGGGTGTCGCTGGGGAGAACTGGCGGGACGCGGTGATGCGTGGAGGGCGAGTGTGGCTGCGCGTGGTACACCAGCGATTTACTGGGCAGCTTGGGGGAGTTGGTGCTCTGAGGTCGCATCGAGGCGGGTGGTTTAGGGTGGACGGCCGGAGGCGCAAACGGCGGAGGAGGCTCCTCGGATTCCGAGAGGTTTTCGCCGTCTGGATGTGGCGGATGGCTGTGATCCTGTGGTTGCGAGGATTCATTGCGTCTGGGAATCCCTGACGCAGTCACAGAGACCTTCTTCGGAGGAACTGGAGGGGCCACCGATGGCAACGGGGCTGCGGTAGAATCCCCTGCAAAAGAAAATAAACGTGTCACGCATTCCATTTCGGTCACTTACAGTAAATGACAGGTGTGATAATGGAGACTTCGTATAGTTTTAATTCAACATCGCTCTTGGAAAATAAACTTCCTGAACAACATGAACATTATTACATCATCCGATTTCATTTGAAATGTAAAAGTATAAAACGTCAAGCTTAGGCGAACTTCACATTGCCAGACGTTAGCGGTACAGTAAACGTCTGACGACAAACATCGTGAAGGCCCGAAACCCCGGCCGTGTGCGTGAGCGCCTCGAGGCAAGGTCCACTCACCGGCGTGGCCGTCAAACCCGTAGGAGGTTGACTTAGGGGGTAAAGGCGGAGGTGGAGAAGTGATACGGGAAGGCAAGCCGCCCATCAGCGAGCTAAGATTGGGGGAGAATGATTTTTGAGGCAACAGGGGAGGACCATTCCCCGCCTGGGTGCGTGGGAACGTCCCCCACGCAGGGCCACCGCCGTTCGCTTCTGCGTGAGGGGTGCCGGCGTCAGGGAAGAGGCGGGGGAGGGGGGCGTTAAGGGAGTCGGAAGGAGTTGGGCAGAAAATGCAGGGGTGGGGAGAAAGGGTGAGTGAGGTTTAGTAGGAGAGATACCAAAACCAGCCAACTATACCAAAAAGCACCACAGAACAAGCAGAATCCCAAACTATCTGCAGAGACTCCCATGCAATGAAGTGACGTAAAGTCTCTACGATTAAACTGTTAATACGATAGGCTGAATTGGATTCCCCAGTCACAGCTGGCATCAGTGGCGAGTGATGTCTAAACCGGCCCCGTGTCCTGCCGTCGCCAATCTTCAGTGCTCCTCAACGGGATCCCACCGCAACTGCTACTGCGGCTGCACGGTACAACGTGCGGCCTCCAACATCGGCCCTGACAGCACCCCATCGTGCGGTCTTCGGTGGTGGTTCTATAAGCACACCCTGTAAACACTTCCCCCACCTATGCCGGTAATGCTGCCTTATGAGTTTTAAACACTGCATCAAACAAGACAGCATTCTGAATTGGCCTTGATCAGGTGGTAGTGTGGTCAAATTTGTCAATTTTAAGTTGAGCTTTACATGGTGATGGTTGCGCTTGTGTTGCAATCGAAACGTCGTATTCTATTACTATTGAATTTCATTTATTTCTCCGTGACTTTACCGAAAGAACCAAAGAGTAATTCCTGCAGCCACGAAAGCTTCGAATTTATTTTGAACCACCTCTACGGGGAGGGTTTGCCATGCTTGTTTGTTTCACACTTAACTTCTCATTTAGCAATCTTTGGAAGAACGCAATCAACCAGGATATACGTTAACTGTGTGCTAACCGACTCTGTGTTGCATTGCATTACGCTTCCTAATTTTACTAAATTTTCTTTCTACCGTGTTAGTATCCGTGTTTGTTTAGAAGTCCATTCTCTCCTCCGTCAGCTATGGGGGCAGTAAAGCCACACAACTCCCCCTCTGCTCCCCCCCCCCCCTCTCTCTAGTTAAGGCCTCGACACAGAGACATTGTCTTTCTGTGTGCCTATGTGTGTGTCTCTGTGTAAGTCTCCCTCTGCTTGTGTGTCTGTCTGTGTGTCTCCGTGTCTATGTTTTGTCTCTCTCTCAAATTTAGCAATCTTTGGAAGAACGTAATCAACCAGGTAAGGTGCTGACTGTTGTGTTGGCCGACTCTCTGTGTTGTATTGCATTATATTTCCTAGTTCACTATGTTTGTTTTCTCATTCATTTGTACCTGATGATGGTTGCTTGTGTTGCAATCGAAACGTCGTATTCTATTATTATTATTTAATTTAATTTCTTTCTACGTAACTTTACCGAAAGAACCAAATAGTAATTCCTGCAGTCACGAAAGTTTTGAATCTAGTTTTAATCTCCTGTAATTCAAATGCGTGCAACAAAAGCCACCACCAATTTCACTGCAGAGATTACAAAACGCACTGTATTGTCAAAATTACCTAGTCCTGCACGAGTGGTTATGCTTTCATTAGGCTCCAGATTGTCTCAGCAGATAGCCTAATTGATTCTGCAAAAAACTCTTTTGTATGATGGAAATCCCATTATCCGTATCGATATGGAGGGCATTATAATATTATCTTGTTAACCGCTTTTATCCACGGAAAGTTCCCATTAATCTGAGTGGGTAAGCACGTTTGCTGGTGACTTATCTGCGCAAAGGCGCGGATAACGTGAAAAAATCCGCATGCGGATAATATCACCTTGGGCTCTACTAATTCATAAACACGGATGACATAACTGTTTGATAATAGGGATACGGATAACAGGAGTCCATTGTATTGTCATGCATTCAGTACTCAAAGAAACCATCACCAAGCAATAAACCCAACAAAACCACCACAACAGAGTTACATATAAACAACATTACCTACCATGTGAATACCTTACCATTACCTACCATGTGAATACCTTACCATTACCTACCATGTGAATACCTTACCATTACCTACCATGTGAATACCTTACCATTACCTACCATGTGACTACCTTACCATTACCTACCATGTGACTACCTTACCATTACCTACCATGTGAATACCTTACCATTACCTACCATGTGAATACCTTACCATTACCTACCATGTGAATACCTTACCATTACCTACCATGTGAATACCTTACCATTACCTACCATGTGAATACCTTACCATTACCTACCATGTGAATACCTTACCATTACCTACCATGTGAATACCTTACCATTACCTACCATTTGCCGTTATTATATTTTTATGTGGGGGGATACCAAAGTGAGTGTAATTATAATTGGAAGATCAAGCTATAGAATCCAAATATTATAATAATTATTGTTTCTATATTTGCCAAATCCGGTTCTGGGCCACCCCTTCACCAACCCACATGAAGCAGCGTGGTGAAGTATGGTCAAACAACCCCAGTAACGAATACAGCATGGGGGGGCAGGCCTACATCCATCAATACTACAACACGGGGGCTGTAAATAATTGTCATTAATGTAATTCACGCTCCACTGCTTTGCGACTGCCAGATGGGATATGAGACGGGACTGGTTTAGCCGGAGGGTTGGGAGTGAAGGCGTTCGCGTAGCAGTGTCTATTTCTTTCCACGAGGGGACGCTGTGTAAAGTAAATTTGTAAAGCGTCAGATGTTATTGGTCCACGATCCATCACCCTAACCCAGGCCCAAAGACTTGTTCATTTCCTTGTCTTTACAGAATGCGTTTGCTCACTATGCAAGCGTATATAATTCCAGATGTTGTATTGTTAAGTCTTTTACAAAATGATAAGAGAAATATATATATTGAATGTCTACATTTGCTCAAATAACCACCGCAGTTTAAAATCAGACGTTATTTCTTCTCTCAGAGCTGCAAAGCCACAGTTTGAAGTATGGAATGGAGGGTCACAATTACAACCACTGAGCACCATACACAAAATAACATGATCGCCATCACAAATTCCCTATGAACTGTACACCAATGTCTCTCGCTTACGAGGCTACACGGCATTCTGTTGAAAGGGCAGAAAATCAACAAAAGCACAGAGGACCTCTTAGGAGCCTTCAGGGAAGTTTGGCCCCATGTCAGGCACGTTGCCATGCTACATTTGTAACTAAAACAGCTGTACAACGTCTGCTAACGCTACTACTCTGCGACCTGCAACTCAAACAGGTGCAACTACAGTGATGAAAATCAAAGGGTAGAGACAACAGGAGATAAACACTCGGCGCATTATTTTTCAATCAGCGCATCACATACGGGGGGCCCTTTCATCAGACCCCCAAAACTGGCCTCAACCACCTGTAGCGCTGCAACGAGGCCACATAAATCCACTCGATTTAATTAAACATGCATTCTACGTGCAAAGTCAGCACCAGGGCACTGTTACCCTTCCCCTGCTTCTAAAGTGACATTCACGCGAGTGCCAGGTAGTTGCTCTCACCGGGGGCCTTGCTCTGCCTCTGCTCTTCCGCACGCTCGGCCCTCTTCGTCTCGCCACTCACGGCAGCGTCCCCTTCCGCCGCGGGGCCAGCGTGGATGGACGTCCTCGGGCAGGGGACCGGTTTGACCGCAGGGACGCCAACGAGGGCGGCCGGTGGCGCGGCTTCTCCTCCGGCAGCCTTGGGCTCGGCACCCTTGGCTCCGCCGGCCTCGGCGGCGGCGGCGGTAGCGGCGGCAGTAGCGGCGGCGGTGGCGGCCACGAGGGCTGATTTGCGGTCGACTTGGAGGCGCGCGTGCGCCGGCAGCGGCAGGGCCACGGATGCCCGCGTGGACGGTCCCGGCGGAGGCTTCTCAGCCGCGATGTACGGTTCAGATTTGGGCCGGGCCTCCGCGGGGGAGGGCTGCGGCTCCGGCTGCTCGAGCCGATGCTGGGTTTGCGCTTCCTCCCGACTCTCCACGTGCCCGTTGCCAAGCTCCGGCTGCTCCGGCTTGTCTGGCTCCTCCTCGGGAAGGCTCGGCAACACGGACGGAACCCCTGTTACCGGCGGAGAGGAGCAGTTTCCCACACTTACAATCGTGTCTGGAGACCAATGCTGCATGCATTTTTGCGTATTAATTTGATCCCAAATGTTATTTGGATTTCACCCTTTAGTCACTCCTGTATTTCACAAGCGGTGACTCGTGGGAACTTAACATCCTCGAATTATAAAGCTTACAGTACGTGTTATCCCACACATGGTCATTGCCGCTCAAGCCGCTATTGGCAGAGGCCTCCTCCTATTGAGATTCATTTTCCCTGTACTTGAACAATTATTATAAAGGTTAGAAGTAGGGGGCAGGTGGCAATTCTGACCTCTCACGTCATCAACATAGGCGATGATGTGCGACTAACCAAACACATTATTTGGCGATACTGCATCGGCAGTGGTGCACAACCAAAAACGCCAAAGAAAACCCGACATTTTGATTTAAAGCTTTCGTGACTGCAGTAATTCATATTCTTAGCTCTTTCGGTAAAGTCACGTTGAAGGGAAACAATAAAATAATAAAATATATATATAAAACAATAAAAATTCTCACGACGTTTCGACCATAACACAAACGGTCGTCACCTGATGATGACCGTTTGTCACCTGATGACGACCGTTTGTGTTATGGTCGAAACGTCGTGATAATTTTTATTGTTTTATATATATTTTGTTTCCCTTCAACGTAACTTTAACAAAAGAGCTAAGAATATAAAACCCCGACATGTTTGTCTATAATAACACTGTGGTCTTCCTGGGAAAAATATAAAATAGGTGGCATTTAGAGCAGTGGCCTTCTACATCGCACACTGTATCAAGAATGGCCTTTGCCAGAAACTTCGCCGATTAGGCTTTTTTTTTTACTTTCACGGCAGTGTTATTCACGAACGTGTTGCGTTTCAATTCTCCGTTCCGTAGGACTACCGGTCAACGTATCGTCTCGTACTCGACAAACGGCTTCGTAACCAATCACACCCAAGGCTGCGTATGGTGTGTACGTGCGGAGGACAAGTTTGCTGACGTTCGGTTTGCGATAGACGCCGAGAGAATGCCACGAGTCGAACATCGATCTGAGCATACCGGTTTCCGCAGACTCCTGTAGGAGGCCTTTCTTGATCAGCTCCTCCCGAGGCAACCTCGTCGAAATTTTTCTCTCCAGCTCTGCCAATCATGGAGCCAAAAAGAGACAGAATCATGCGGGGGATTAATTTTGATTCGATTAACCCATCGACCTGTGCCTCCTATTTACAGACATGGCCAAGGCACTATCTGCAGCTGTGCCTTTAATACGGGCAACATTTTCTATTTTTGAAAGGGGACTTAAAAACAAGCAGGCCTTCCGACAGAAAAAGCATGGCCCGATTAGATTACACTTCTTTGGAACAGGCTAAAAACATTCTAAGACAAGTCCCCAGCTAGAGTATACAATTCACTTTCTTTGGAAACACTACATCTTGAACTATTACACAAGGAAACAATATATATGCTGTACAATAGATTGTTTATTGTAACGGAGTAGCAGCCAGAGAATGAAGAGAATGACCACTGAGGCAGTGGAGAGATGAAATCAGTTTACGTGGCAGTCCTGGATGGATTGTTACATCGCAAGATCGGGGAAGGTGGTGGTGGTGGTGAATTGGGGAGGCCTTCATCCAGCAGTGGATTGACCATGGCTGATGATGATGAGACGTTACGAAGGGGAGCACTGACGCAGTTGTTAGCGCACTTTGCTAGGAACCCAGCACACTGTCAGTGGTGAATGAGACCCACACCGGTCCTGGGTCCTCCCTTCACCAACCCACGTTGACCAGTGTAGGGAAGTATGGTCAAGTAATCCCCACGACCGGCATGCCGTGGGGAGGCCTTAACCCGGCCGTGGATTGACAAAGAGCTGTTTATTATATTTGTTTAGACTGTCCGTGCTCGTGGGAGCAAGGAGACGCTTTAACTTCGTCTGATATTGCGCACGTACATTTTACAGTCTGATACTGCGGTATAACTACCCTGCAGAGAGCAGTGCAACAAAATCTATCGTCTACACTCGTCACCATCAACCCGCACTTACCAGCATGGAGGATGGGTCAAATAACCCCGGTGACCAGCACGGCCTGGAAAGGCCCTAATCCAGTAATGGACTGACAAAAGGGCTGTCTGTACATGTTTGTCCAACACTTGCACACAAAGGCATCCATACACGAGGAAAAATATTGTATCCAATCGTTTCATTTGTTTGGCTGCGTCAGGTAATAAGAGGGTCTCGTGAACACAAATTTGCCCAGATAATTTCGTGGTCTCATCCAAAACAATCCATTGCGAATCGTGCAAGAGCGCGTCCATTCTGCAGCCCTTACCAGCCGAGGTCTCCTCAAACTTCTGACTGTGCTTCTTCTTTTTCCACTTCCAGTGAAAGAGTTTGCTCAGGCCGCTGGCGAGCTTGCTCTTGCGGCGCGCGGGCGGCGTCTCAGCCTGCGCGACCCCGTGGGGGAGGTGCTCTGCGTGCGTGGCCACCGCCCGGGAGCCTTCCTCTGCTGCAGCAAAACACCCAGGGGACGAGGCACAAGGGCGGGGGACAGAACAGGGGGTTCAGACGGCGTCCATATCCCGCTTAAACTTTTGATTTTGTATTTTACCAGGGTAAGGCCCACTGGGCTATGTAGCTATTTTGCAGAAGCGACACGGCTATCACAAACGATAGCTCAACGAAGCGGCTTATCGTCGCGTGGACATTTATAGCAGCCAAATACTCTAAACGTGGTTGTTTCTAAATGTGGAGAGAAAAACCAGAGGAGCCGGAGGAAAATCCATGCAACCACAGGAAGAGAAACACAAACTTTAAATATACAGCAGGCGTCAGGGTCAGGGTCGAACCAACGACATCCTGCATACTCTGCGAGGTAGTTAACATCTTGCCACCGTGGAGCCCAAGCTCGTGACAGGCATTCCACAATCCTATGGCAGTGGGCAAATGTACCCAATGAGACGACTGTTGACTTGCATTCACAGTGGTTTTCATTTTATCAAACCCGGAGGGATGATGGGTTGAGACAAACCTCAAGCAAGATATGAACTCAGACCCTTCCGATTGCGAGCCGTTTCGTATGACCGCTGAGCCAACTGGTGGGTAAGTACTGTAACACGCATGCTGTGTGTCAGTGGCGAGGTTTTATTCACTTGTATGGCGAGACAGAACACAGCAAGCCAGGCAGCACAAACAGCTGGCAGAAACTAATTGTTCTCCCTTTTCATGGATACTACCGTCACTTTTTAAATTTACCACGTTTACATTTGACTCTTTTACTGAAGTGCCATTTATTGGGGGAAAAAAGTCATTTTTAAAATCAACAGGATATAAACACGTATATGTCCTTCAGAAAAAAGTGCATCATTGTATATTTTAAAATATATTTTTAGACTATATGTTTCTGATTACAGTACATAGTGCAAGTGCATTTTGGACACAGTGAATATGTTAAGTCGAAATAAGCTGCAAGTGATGAATCCTATCGAATGGATTCTTCATTGAAAAATGGTTCAGGTACTCAACTCACACGAGTGCATCTTGATTCAAATAAAATTAATTATTTATCTGCTTGCCGAAAGCACAACGCATCAATTGCATCATTGCCCTGGAGTAAAGCTGAATGTGTCAACACTGAGGTCTGTTCAATAGGCGATGTTGTTGCTGCCAGGGGGAAGGTTCAACTTCACGCACCCATGGCAACCAGAAGCAGCCGTGTTTTCATTTCATGTACACAAGCAACCATTCCAAATGTGTGCCTGCACTGCATCACCTGATATTATGCGATTTCAAGTATTATGCATAATTATGTTGTATAGGGCCAATATACTTGCTATTTACCTTCATACATTACTGTAGAAATATTGTACTATAAATATAATAACAAATAAACATGGTATAAGATTCAAGGTGAGCATTGCACATTCTTCTTTCATATGGATTTTTCGGGGGTATTGCAACAGATTACAAATCGATGTCTCCGTTTGATATCCATTCGACTGCTTCAGGGCATTGTGCACATGCGACTGCATGCAGAGGGGATTCCACTTCCAATGCTAAACGTCGTACAGTATCGTGTATAGTTAAAACAAACAAACAAGCACTTAAATTAGTAACCAGCGGGCGCCGAGCAATCATCCACGTGGGAGTTTACAAGTGGCCCAATGAAGTGACAACGCGTTGAGGACACGCGCGAGGCAGATGTCCCATCTCAAGCACACGTCAAGGGGGGGGGGGACGTGAATTCTGCGCGATCCTCCTCCACAACCTCAAGTGTCGACACTCCAGCCATGAACACTGCGCTGCTCACAAGGTCCGGGCAGCGGTAGACTCTGTCCAACTCTTCTTCGCTCGTGTCGCTCGTCACGGAGCCATCGACGGATCCTCTCACCGGATTCTCCGGATTGAGCCACGTTTACTTTGCTCCCCCTGCATTTTTTTTTACTTTAAAGCAATCAGTGGCGTCTTAGAATCAGGCAGTTGTGTGCGTGTGACCAGATTTGTATGACTTTATGGACACCGGGCACAGGTTTGAGATGTGTCTTAGTTTCCGGAGCGTTTTGTAATAGTCTGGAAAAAACACAGTGCTGTATATGCACCTATCATCTGCAAAAAACAAATCCAGATGTCCAAGCGGATATATTGGCAGAGAAGTGCGGATAGCAGGAAGAATATCACAACTTTGGGGACTCCTCTCATATCTGAAATAATGTAGATAAACGTATCCACGAGAAGGGCCTCTGAAAAAAATACTATACTGTAGCGTCAAAGTACAAAATTAGTCTGTGGTTCTTTCGGTAAAGTCACGTAGAAAATAAATTAAATAATATAATACGACACTCTGTGTGTCTATTTTGTGTGTCTCTCTCTCTCTCTCTGTGTCTGTGTTTTCTCTCTCTCTCTCAAATTTAGCGATCTTTGGAAGAACGGAATCAACCAGGTAGGGTGTTGGCTGTTGTGTCAGCCGACTGTGTCGTATTGCATTATATTTCTAAGTCTAGGTTTGTTTTCTACCTGATGACGATTGCTTGTGTTACAATCGAAACGTATTGTATTATTTCATTTATTTTTCTTTCTACGTGACTTTACCGAAATAACCAACGAGTAATTCCTGCAGTCACGAAAGCTTCAAATCAAGTTTTGACAAAATTAGTATTCACTCTGGAATGATGTACAGTGAGGGAGAAAAGCATTTGATCCCCTGCTGATTTTGTACATTTGCCCACTGACAAAGAAATGATCAGTCTATCATTTTAATGGTAGGTTCATTTGAACAGTGAGAGAATAACAACAAAAACATCCAGAAAAAAGCATGTCAAAAATGTTATAAATTGATTTTCATTTTAATGAGGGAAATAAGTATTTGACCCCTCTGCATAACATGACTTAGTACTTGGTAGCAAAACCCTTGTTGGCAATCACAGAGGTCAGACGTTTCTTGTAGTTGGCCACCAGGTTTGCACACATCTCAGGAGAGATTTTGTCCCACTCCTCTTTGCAGATCTTATATATATTATTATTTTATTGTTTCCCTTCAACGTGACTTTACCGAAAGAGCTAAGAATATTAATTACTGCAGTCACGAAAGCTTTAAATAAAAACATTTCTTCTCCAAGTCATTAAGGTTTCGAGGCTGACATTTGGCAACTCGAACCTTCAGCTCCCTCCACAGATTTTCTATGGGATTAAGGTCTGGAGACTGGCTAGGCCACTCCAGGACCTTAATGTGCTTCTTCTTGAGCCACTCCTTTGTTGCCTTGGCCATGTGTTTTGGGTCATTGTCATGCTGGAATGCCCATCCACGACCCATTTTCAATGCCCTGGCTGAGAGAAGGAGGTTCTCACCCAAAATTTGACGGTACATGGTCCCGTCCATCGTCCCTTTGATGCGGTGAAGTTGTCCTGTCCCCTAAGCAGAAAAACACCCCCAAAGCATGTTTCCACCTCCATGTTTGACGGTGGGGATGGTGTTCTTGGGGTCATAGGCAGCATTCCTCCTCCTCCAAACACGGCGAGTTGAGTTGATGCCAAAGAGCTCCATTTTGGTCTCATCTGACCACAACACTTTCACCCAGTTGTCCTCTGAATCATTCAGATGTTCATTGGCAAACTTCAGACGGGCATGTATATGTGCTTTCTTGAGCAGGGGGACCTTGCGGGCGCTGCAGGATTTCAGTCCTTCACGGCGTAGTGTGTTAACAATTGTTTTCTTGGTGACTATGGTCCCAGCTGCCTTGAGATCATTGACAAGATCCTCCCGTGTAGTTCTGGGCTGATTCCTCACCGTTCTCATGATCATTGCAACTCCACGAGGTGAGATCTTGCATGGAGCCCCAGGCCAAGGGAGATTGACAGTTATTTTGTGTTTCTTCCATTTGCGAATAATCGCACCAACTGTTGTCACCTTCTCACCAAACTGCTTGGCAATGGTCTTGTAGCCCATTCCAGCCTTGTGTAGGTCTACAATCTTGTCCCTGACATCCTTGGAGAGCTCTTTGGTCTTGGCCATGGTGGAGAGTTTGGAATCTGATTGATTGATTGCTTCTGTGGACAGGTATTTTTTATACAGGTAACAAGCTGAGATTAGGAGCACTCCCTTTAAGAGTGTGCTCCTAATCTCAGCTCGTTACCTGTATAAAAGACACCTGGGAACCAGAAATCTGATTGAGAGGGGGTCACATTCTTATTTCCCTCATTAAAATGCAATTCAATTTATAACATTTTTGACATGCGTTTTTCTGGATTTTTTTGTTGTTATTCTGTCTCTCACTGTTCAAATAAACTTACCATTAAAATTATAGACTGATCATTTCTTTGTCAGTGGGCAAACGTACAAAATCAGCAGGGGATCAAATACTTTTTTCCCTCACTGTATTTAGTTTGCTAAGTGACAGGCACAACCTTATCCTTTTACAACTGTAATCAATTAATCTCTGAACAGGACATTTAAAATCATTTTTAAAGTGTTTCCTCCTCTGCTATTTTTGTTGAGTTTTTTCTGGTATTTTTCTGGAGAAACCGTAAGGCGGGTCTCGCCGTAAGAATCCACTGCCTTCGCATAACTCAGCATTTTGCACAATAGGTTTCTGCTGAAGGTCGTAGATTTTCACGCAAGATTTTAAATTAATAAAAAACAACACAAGCCAGTGATGCATCAGAGTCATTGGTGAAAACCACTGTACTGACAAAACACCTTCCTTTTTTAGATTTATGGAAAACTAGCTTTACTACCCGGCTTCGCCCGGGACTTGGATTCACCACGCCCGGCCGCCTTTGTCTCCCCAGTGGCGATGTTACCACACCAGTTACTCGTTTGCGGCTGAGTCGACCTAGGGGAGGCCCAGGACCGGTTCAAATAATCGTCACCGGTGGTGGCCGTGAGCGGGAATCGAACTCGGGTCGCCGGGTTCGTAGCGCGGCGCGCTAACCACTACACTACAATGCGTTACGCTTCCACATGCGTGGGTCACGTGACAGATTTGACGTCACAGCTCACTTGCTGTGCAAAAA